CCCCAAAACCCCAAAACCCCAAAACCCCAAAACCCCTAATTCTGAATTTAAAACTGAAACTTAACTTGTTTTTAATAACTAATTTACAACTAATCTTGTGCTACAATTATGGACGAATTAAATCCTAACAATGTTGTGGAAATGCCGCAGCGAGCCCCAAAGCAGAAGATGAGGACAGCTATAGACTCCTCGTCAAGTAAGCCTAGCACTAATCTTGCTCATGGAGGTGACAATCTTACTGTATCTGCTCAGGAATTTTGGAAGCAGAGCAACAAGGACATTGCTCAGCTTGGCTATGAAGGCAAATCTTACAAATCGAACAAGATTGTTCCTATAGGAAGTGGAACTTCCTCCTCGGACAATATCTCCAGGGCAGGGACTTCAATGGAGAGACACAACTATGACAAAGAGAAGGGGCGTGATCCTAAGGGCATAGTTGCCGCTCTTGGACATAAAAAGCTCCATTCTCTCAGAGATGAGATTAATGACAGTAATTTTTCATACTTTTGTTCGACTCAGGACAAGATTTTGGACAATAGTAACAGTCATCCTTCTTTCAGGATATATTTCTCATTCATGAAGAGATTCATGATAGTGTTAGCTATATGCTGCTTACTTTCTTCTTGTTTGGTGGTCTACAATTCAACAAGCGATTGGTACCAAGGGAAAGATACTAAATGGAACCTTGACTATGCTTCATTGGGGAACATAGACGGGCTCGAGTACCAAGTAGAAGGAAGCTTCTTGGCGAGTCGCCAAAAGGACAATGCTGATAAAGGTTTTGCACTAACTTTTTCGATAGACATGCTGACCACGATCCTCATGATCTTGTTCTTTGTTTATCAGATTGATGTTTCGCGTGTTGAGCTACACTCGAAGAAGTCATTGTATAGTATCACTGATTACTCAGTGAGAGTAACTAGCTTACCAAAGAAGAGCCCAAACAATCTCGAGAGGGAAATTAGAAATCAATTCATCCGTTTTGGAAAAATTCTTGAAGTAGTTTCTTTACGAAATTATTCGAAAGCGTTAAGGTACGAACTGGAGATTCAGAAAATTTCAGATAAGATCCAAGACCTTAAGTCTATTGACCAGATTAAGGGTACTAGTAGCCAGAAGAAGATTGACTCCTTGGTTGCTAAACAGCAGAGGCTGTCAGTAAAGAAAGATAATAACTCGGTAGACCCTGCGAGTACTGGCCATACTAAGGAATATATTGTAGTTTTCGAATCCACAAAGTCAAAGAAAGAGTGTATTGAGGCTTATAGAGGATACTCTCATTGGTGGTCAAGACCGAATTCAAAGATGCCTGAAGACATGAGGCTTCAACAAAGCTATGGCTTCAAGGTGAAAGATGCTCCTGAGCCTTCTGAGTACATCCTTGAAAACAGAGCAAGGCATTGGATCTGGAAACTCTTAGTGTTTATCATGGCTATTGGAATCGCCAGTGTTGTTTGTCTCTTTGTAATCAATTTCAGAGTGCATGATGTTGATGATAAGTTTGACGTAATTCCTTTATACACAAGGTGCTCTAAGTACGATTTCAGCCTAGTCACAACTTCTACATACACAACGACTACAGCCACTGTCCAGCAAGATGAAATTTACTGCTACTGTAGGTCTAAAGGGAAATCTACAGTTGAGAAGGACACAGGTGACCTAAACTCTCTGTGCAAGAATTGGCTGGACTCTTTTGACGAATACTACCATTCATTTGCAAAGCTGATCTTCTCGATGCTGTTTTTGAATGTCTTCATAACTTACTTTTTCAAGGTGGTATTTCAGTCAAAGATCTTCTGTGTCAGAAATAAGACCAACAGATTCTTATGCACCTCGATATGCGTTTTAGTTTTCCAATTTGTATTTCTTGGAGCGTTACCGGAGTACTGGATGGACCAAACCATTCATGATCAGGGTAGAGAGTGGTACCTCAGGGTAGGACCTATCTATGCGTACTACTTTGCCTGGAGCCTCCTGTTGTACCCCCTGGAGACAGGTGTATATTTACTGGTTTCCTTCATCTATAAGAAGTGGAGGTCAAAGAGAGCCGTGCTTCAGAAACAACTGGACAATGCTATTGTTGGAAGAGAGTATGATTACTCGCATAAACTAGGAAGAATACTTGCCCATGCCTACATTGCATTCTATCATGGATCAGGATTGCCTATTCTATATGTCTTCCTTTTTATTCAGGTTGGAATATTCATACTGACTGAAAAATTCTTGCTCCTGAAATTTTACAAGAAGTTTAATCACATTGAGCCATATGTGAGACAGTTTATTATCCATACGATCTTGGCCATGCTATTTGTACACATGTTTAGGGCAATAGCAATTTTGGGATCTCAGGAAATCTTCCCTGACAAGGTGAAAGAAACATTAGGGCTCAAGAACGGGACTTTGCTATTTTTTTATACAGCAGATGATAAATCCTACAGTGGCAGACTCGCTCTTCCAGCAGGAATAGCATATCTCATAATATCCCTAATGCTAACTGTTCTATATTGCCTGATCTGGTGGAGCCATAGGCAGAATTTTATCGGAAAGTTATTCTCATGGTGTGCTCTTCTCGACAAGCCAGGGCTGAGGGCAGCCAAGCTTTCATCAATAAAGCCAAAAAATCTTGTTTTTTACCCAAATACCTACCAATTCCAGGATATTTACAAGTACAGGGAGGTTCTTCCCCAAATTGAGAAGAGATATGTCCTCTCTGAAGATATCGAATGTAGGCTTGAAGTGCCAGGCATGAACAAATCGGGCAACCTGGATAGTCACTACGAGTTGAAGAATAGCCGCAAGAGTTACGAAGAAGGTGACTCCAGACCAGCAGACGTTGCTATCAAAAGTTCGAATGTATTCAACATATATTCTCAGAAGAACTCTTCTCCTGAGTAAGAGGCCTGGGAGACCTGGCTGCTTCTGACAAAGATGGATGGAGGCTAAGCTAGGTATGGAGCTAATTTATTTCATAAATATTCTAAGCGTTACATGATTTTCAAATTTTTATTTAGCAAAAGGGGTTTTGGGGTTTTGGGGTTTTGGGGTTTTGGGG